TTCAAAAAGTTCCATTGGTTTTTTTGAAAGAGATCTCATTGATTTGTAGATCATTTTGAATATCATTAACATCTAAAGAAACTTGCACGTTCTAATTCTTGAAAAATAGTATGCCAAGTAATTTGTCAAGTTTTCACATATATGCAGGCATGCTAGTTTTCTTTTGGTTTTTAACTTCCAGTTATATTTCATTGTAGTCAGAAATACTTTTTATGATTATCATTTGTTTATGCTAAAACTTGCATTCTAGCTTAGAAGTTTGCCTATCTTAGTAGATGTGCCATATGCAATTAGAAATATTATGTATTATGCTATTGTTGGGTGAAATGTTTTGTAGATTATTCCCAGGTCTTATTTTTCTTTTTAACCTTTTATTTCCCTTTGCATTTGCCTTTATCTTTATTTTTTCTTTATTTTTTATTTACTTTCATTTTTTTCTATTAATTTTATTTCTATTTTTTTTTCTCATTACATTCTCATTTCAAATTTTCTAGAATTCTTGCTTGTAATGTTTTATTTAATTTTTTTGTTTATTTTATTTCCATTCATATCCCCTATTATTTTTCTCCACATTTTTTTTCATTTTTCTAATTCTCAAAATTCTTATTTTATTGCAAATTATTCCATTTATTTCTCTTGATTTTATTGTATTTATTATTTTCATCTTCATTTTATTTTTCACTGATCTTAATCACATTTGTTTATTTTTCTTTATTTCAGTTTGTCCTTACTATTTCTTAATTACTTTAAATTTATCTTTATATTTCATTTTCGTTCTCTTGATTTCATTTGTTTCACTTTATTTTTCTATATTTTGCTTTGTAAAACAGAAGGGATGACCTATTTTAGATTGGCTTAGCCATAGTGGTCAAGACTCGTTTGCTGAGGCTCTCTGGCAGCCACTCTACCCCAGGAGTCTCCAACCCAGGGTATAGTCAGGGCCTCCTAGCAGGATTGCTAAGATCCCTGGGCAGATCTTTCATTGTTATAGGCCCATCTGGCATTCAGTGTCATGGGCCATTTCTGCTGCTTTCTGAAGCCCGCTGCAAGTCTTAGTGTTGCTAGGCCAAGACTCTGACTGCCTCTTTGTGTCCCAATGGATCCCCCACACATAATCCAGGGCACTGATTTCTTTCCCAGGAGAGGGCCACACCCACTCCACTGCAGCAGGGCATGTTTGGACCATATGTGTCTTTTCTTTGTTATAAAAGAATTTTTTTTGTTTGTTTTTTGAGATGGAGTCTTGCTCTGTTGCTCAGGCTGGAGTGCAGTGACGTGATCTCAGCTCACTGCAACCTGCAACCTCCGCCTCCTGGGTTCAAGTGATTCTCCTGCCTCAGCCTCCCAAGTAGCTGGGATTACAGGTGTCTGCCACCACACCCAGCTAATTTTTTTTTTTTTTTTTTTTTTTTTTGTATTTTTAGTAAAGACAGCGTTTCACCATGTTAGCCAGACTGGTTTCAAACTCCTGACCTCAGGTGATCCACCCGCCTTGGCCTCCAAAAGTGCTGGGATTACACGTGTGAGCCACCGTGCCCAGCTGAGAAAAAAAATTTTTTTTAACTTGACATATAACTTATTATGAAAACGTCAGCTTTATGGGTAGATATACATGCAAATATGTGCAAAAATGAACATTTCTACATTTTATTTAACGATTTCATAGAGTTGCTATTTTACCCTTTCCTGTCTTTATATGTTCAATGGGAAAATCTTCAGTGAAGACTCCTCAGTATGATAGACAAACTGTTGTGCAATCTATTCATTGATAGATGCAGTGAAGTAACTTCTGGTTTTCACTTGGAGCTCTCACAGCTAGGATTAAAAACCCTTGGTTGTAAACTCACATGATGAGGAGTTATAGTCTGCCATCATAATTGTTTTCAACTTGCCAAGGGAAAAAGTGGGAAATTGTTTCCCTCAGACCTACTCATCTCCCTTTCATAGGTTTTCAGGGTGTGCACTGTCCAGATTACTTAGAAGCTCATGATCACAGAGGTCATATTTGTCAAGAGAAAGCTTTGTTGCAGGATTAAGTGAAGGTGTTTACCACTCAGGACCCATGGGTCATCCAGAGGCAGGATGAGCTTAAAAATCATTCCTGAATCCAGAAAGTAATGACAGAAGTTGGGGGCTGCCCACAGGAGAAAGAAAAATGCTCCCTTTTCCTTTCCAAGTGGTCACTGCTTATTCTGGCATTAATCATGCTTCTGACCACGATGTGTTTCTTAGTCATCTTTCTTGGTATTCCACTGATTGTGCATCTAAGGAAAAGAGGCCTGGATGAGAGTGGTAAAGAGAACAACTGCATCCTTCTATAGCCGATGCCTTGGTGAGTTTTGAAGCACACTGAGCACTCGGAAATCCTTCCTCACTATGGGGTAAGTTATGTCAAATTCGACTCCCATGGAAATGGCACCAGGTTCAAGAGGTCAAAGAAGAGACTCAGAACCAGTGAATGAGATATGGAGTTTTACTGGGGACTTACATAGAGGGGAGAAGGTCCAGTGTCAGTGGGCTTAGCAGGATAACCATGCCCACTTGCAGAAAGCATGCAGTTTGTATAGCATTTTTATTTAGCACTTTTTTTCTGAGCAACCTTTCACCTGTCAGACTTCATTTAACAAAAAAGGAATGGCCTCAATTCCCTGTGTGGCCTATGTTCCATGTCACAGGATGGGACAGACCAGGGGCTCAGATGTTCCTCATAGATAAAAAACAATCTCCAGGTTGTCCACTACTAGATTTTTTAGCTTAAAACTCTGAACATTCAGAAGCACTTTTTATACATGGTCAGTCTCCAGGTATGCCTGAGTCAAGTTCACACTGTCAGTTGCATCCATCATACAGGCTGGTTCAGGCAGTGGAGGTTCTTCTTCCTGAGACTAGATTCAAAAAAGTATTTGCTTTTTCTTGAATCATTGGGTTGACAGTTTACTAAAGGCCTGTAGTGTGTGCACATTGCTGGTACGGTTGTCTAAGTTAATGAGATGGCTTCATAGTTGGTAGGGCCTGTTCCCGTTACAGGTGTGACTGGGTGTGTACAGGCTGCTGAGGTGCCTCTTCTCCAGACTTTCACTGGACCATGACATTCTGAGGCCCCAGTTCCACTATTTTCCAAGGTGGGACATGCTGAACCAGACCTGGAATTGTGGTTCAAGGTGACCAGGCTGCGGCTGCTCTTTAAAAGGCAGAACTGCCAGGTCTGTGTCTTATTTTCCTTGTCATTCTAAAGTATCTTTTGGTATGGAGACCAGCAAAGTCTGAGTATGTGACAGCCCTCCTGCTAGAGTTGGTACTATTTATACATGACTCTTAAGAGTCAAAGTAGGTTGAGAGATCTCTCTTCCTGGCACAGCCTGAGTAGGCTAGAGCACTGTGACCCTTAAAGCTTAGCTCATGCAGTCTTCAGGGGAATTTCAAAAAACCATAGGATGAGGGGGTAGAGAAAAAGCTGGTATAAATGACAAGTTGCAGGTGAAATAATTGTAGGCAGGAAGAGAACGGGACCTGCTTGGAACAGTACACACACTGCCTGGGTACAGCTGAACAGTCAAGCCAGTTCTCTGATTTGGGCCTTGTGCAGTGGGATTAACAGGCCCATTTCTGCTCCGGCCTGGATGCTGAACACTTTGGTTCTAGAACCAAATGTGGATTCTGGACTCGGGAATTCCAGTTGGGTTTCACAGGCCAGTGAAGTGAGGAGGCCCAGGTGGGCCCACAAAAGTGGCTGTGGGTGAGCTTACCACACATGACTGGCTGCTTCTATGCCTACATTCACAAGAGAGATCTTCCTCAAAGGCATGCCCAGGGAGATCTGAGGCTCATGGGAGCCAAGTGAAGAAAAAAGGTGATGCCTCAGCCCAGTGCTTTTGCCCTTCCTGGCTTGTGGCTTTGGGGGCTCAAAGTGCTCATCAGAAAAATGGGCAATGAAAGCTCAGTGACTGGCTGCTCACCCCACTTTTACCAGGCGACTGCACAATGCTCACTCTGCAGCTCCAGGTACAGTCTGTGTTTCAAAAAGCTGGGGGATCTCTGGGCTGAGTTCAGGAGTCCCCCTCAGGGGCTCCTCCTGCCTACCCCTCTGTGCCCACCTGACAGCTCACCATGTCTGCTGTATGCTTATTGCCTGCTCTTGGCAAGCCCATGTCTCCCTGGGTTGGCTTGGGGCACATGCTCACTGAAGCCCAGGTGACCTGACCATCCTTCCTCCAATGTACAGCCTTAGGCAGGTGCCACCCAGGTTTTCTCCTAGAATGTGATCTCAGGGGATCGCAGCAGCACATTCCACTCTAACTTACTAACTAGTTAATCAAAAAGTCACTTAATGTACCAAGGTGGGTGTGGGCCTTGACACTCTTGATATCCTTCCTCTAGTGGGGCTGCACTGGGGGTTGCAATCCTTATTTCTTGGTGGAAAAAGCTAGCAGGTGAGGCAGGACTCAAGCACTAGGGACAGGACAGAGAACCTTGGCTGGCCTCACCCAGGGCCCTCTGTGGCTCCTGCAGGCAGGAGGGCTCCATGGAGCTTCAGATCCCTTTTCTAGGATGGTGCCCATAGCCCCTTCCTGGATCTCCAAGAAGGGCCCACTCTTTCTGCAACCTGCACCTACTGGTCTCTAAATGGAAGGTGAGCATCTGGTCTCTAAATGGAAGGTGAGCATCTATTTATGTTTGCGGACATGGCCTTCTGCTCCATTTCCATGAGAAATACCTAGGGAATCCTGGGCCTGTGGTGGAGGTTCTCTAAGTGCCAAAGTCAGTAAGTCTCAAGAATATAATTAATAGTATTTTCTGCACATTACTATCTCAGGGTTACTTTTGCCCAAAAATGTGTAAAAACAAACATTAAGATTTTTATCCTTTACATTATCTTAATTAGGTCATCATACAAACCTTTTATTTTCCTCCCAATCATTGAATTTTTGTTTTATTCTCTGTTTAAATTGTTACCTGCTTTAGAGGCAAAAACTTAAAAAAAAAATACACTACACAAATACTAACAGGTAACAGCAATTTATTTAAATGTAATTAGATTTAAGTAAATAATTTAAGTAAACAGTTTATATTACTTGTATAAATTATTTTACATCTCACCCTCAATCTTAAAAAAAAATTTAGCTAGGTATGCAATTCAAAATTGACAGATTTTTTTAAAATAGGCAACTTAACATTTTATTGGACAAGTTGGGTAATATTAATTCTCAAATATTTTATCTTAGAAATCAACACACTTGACAATTGATATTCATAGTATCTATGAAAGTGACATTCTGAACGTGCTTTATACTTGCCAAAAATTTAGGAGAAAAAAATCTATTCTGGCCTTCAGCAGTAAAACTTAAAGATTAAAGAAATAAGATTAAATTTACTGGTTAAATTACCCAAAAAACTGAAACAGATTCATTTACTTGTTCTTTATCTTTCAGTATCTGATAATGAACAGATTTTGAGATGTTCAGAATCTGCTTCAGTATAGAAATAAGGCCAAATAGCTCTTGTGAAAGAATCATTAAAATATACAGAACAAACCTATCACTTACATTACTTTAAAAAATCACCAAATTCATAGTCCAAAAGAATACCAATCTTATTGGATTTTACTACTGACAGAAGCGGGCTTTTTTAGGACCTGATGCAGCATAACCACTCTATATATCATCCAATTGCCCCCAAATCAACCCAGAACTGAAGGTTGATCCTGCCAGGTCCTAAGAAGATCATCTTGACACACACCCAATTTTCATTTAGGATCGTTTCCCACTTCTCCTTCCAGTAATGTCTGCCAGAACGACACTTCTGAGGGCCCAGGACAGCAGGGCAGAAATAAAATCTCCTTGGGTTATAACAAACGTTTGGTTTTGTTCTTCCATTACACAGCTTTTTCTATCCTCGGAGACAATAAGTTGAGGATGTGCTGTGTCAAGATCTGAAACCAAGGACAGGTGCAGTGGCTCACACGTGTATTCCCAGCACTTTGGAAGGCTGAGGTGGGTGGATCATGAGGTCAGGAGATCAAGACCATCCTGGCTAACACGGTGAAACCCCATCTCTACCAAAAATACAAAAAATTAGCTGGGCCTGGTGGTGGGCACCAGTAGTCTCAGCTATTCGGGAGGGTGAGGCAGGAGAACTGCTTGAACCTAGGAGGCAAAGGTTGCAGCGAGCAGAGATCACGCCACTGCACACCAGCTTGGGTGACAGAGCGAGATTCCATCTCAAAAAAAGAAAAAAAAAAGATCTAGAATTAAATCTACTTGAAATAGTTCTGTCTAAGCCAGAATATAGAGGAGGACGACTAAAATCATATATATATATGATTTTGGAGACGGAGTCTCACTCTGTCGCCTAGGCTGGAGTGCAGTGGCGCGATCTCGGCTCACTGCAAGCTCTGCCTCCCGGGTTTATGCCATTCTCCTGCCTCAGCCTCCTGAGAGGCTGGGACTACAGGCGCCCGCCATCACGCCCGGCTAATTTTTTGTATTTTTAGTAGAAACAGGGTTTCACCATGTTTGCCAGGATGGTCTCGATCTCCTGACCGCGTGATCCGCCCACCTCGGCCTCCCAAAGTGCTGGGATTACAGGCGTGAGCCACCGCGCCCGGCCCTAAAACCATATTTTATATTTCGTTAATCTATATGAAAAGAGTTCAGGGTATTTTAGGTTTCAATACCTGTGGTGCACACTCTTAATACATGTCAGCAATTTCAGGTTTGACTGCATAGAATTGCCCTCTACCTCCCCCAGTAGATGTTTAAATGTAGAAACATAATCTGAAAATTTTACAAGGTTTTCACTTAGTTTTGCTAAAATGTCCATCTCTTCATCTTGTTTCAAGTGTGAGAGTCAACTGTGCAACATGGGTACAATTATGCTCTCTTCATATGCAGAATTAATGTCATTGTTTTTACATAGATACTTTCCATTTTTCACCTGAGACCACAGGCTAATTTCAAAAAGAATATTTACTTCTAATTATGTAGCTTCTGTTACATAGCTAGTATTGTCTTTGTTTACTTCATGTATATGCCAAAAAGACCTGATAACTTATGAAACATTAACTGTTTACTTCAACAAACTGGCTCAGTAAATTTAATAAACTCAATTATGTCAATTTTATAAAGTAAAATGCAATAACTAAACAAAAATTGGATTAAATAGCATTCTCTAATTGAAACAAAACATAAAATATACTAAATAACATACAATACACACACTATGAAATTACTCATATGTGAAAATTATTTTGTGAACACCATTAAATATTATCAAAGTCACTTTCATAATCTCTGAGGGGATTATACAAAGAATGTTTTATGAAATTAGATGAAAAGAAAATTACATATTATGTCTATGGTGAGCAACAGGCAAACAAACAACAAAAAAATAGAATTTGCACAAGATGATTCTAAGCCAGGAGCAATGACATTTTAGATAAATGAATTTAATATACAGCAGAGAAAACAGATTTGCTTTCAAAATCTCTGAAGTTTCTGGTTTGCTGGTAACTGATCAAAACTTGTAAAATTATCTATTTCACTCTAATATTTTTCTTTTCTTCTCAGAGTAGGTACACAACCATAAACAAATACGATTACTTTCTCTATAAATCTGTTACACCTAAAGTTTATTTCATAGTGATATATTTGTATATTTAAATCCATGTAAAACAAAATTAAAGGTCTGTATGTGTTTAGCAGACCAGAGGAGTCATATGTTCAACAGAAAAAAGTAGGATAAAATTTTGTAAATAGTTGTTCAGAATTCAGATACATATAGCTCCATTATACTCATAATCTTTGTTACAACCATCATAATAACCTGTAGTTACAACAAAACAAAAATGTAAGTTATAGAAACCATATTCTCTAAATTATTTTAAGTTAAAGACCACTGACAAAGGGATCACTAGAGATGTTACTCCACTGTCACCCAACAGTATATTGTTACCTATAACCTTGGGTTAAGATGGGATAAATTATCATCAGTGGCAAGATACATATTCAGTGTAAAATAGCCTTAACACAGTAACAACAATTTTGGTTTATTAAAACAAATTAAGTTCACACGTTGTCATTAAAAAGGCATTTTGAAATTTACTGTATTTTAATAACCTTAATTTGCAAACGGTAAAGCAATTTCCTTCTAAAATTCAAACTGTTTCTCTTACTAAGCAGATTATCCTGATCACTTACCACACTCCTATCATCCTGTCACTTACGACACCGCTGTAAACTACTAAGTGGCCTTTCCACTTAGGATTTCTTCATGTATCTTAGATTTCAGTTTACTTAACCTTCCATGGGAAAGTATATAAATCTGTCCATCTAATAGAGAAGAACCTCTCATAACTCTGGTGCAGCAATCATTGACCATGTTTTCACATAAATTCTAGAAATGAAGACATAGCATCAAATGTAAGAATTAAATTACATCAATATTTGCTTTTGAAAAAATACTGAATCCTTTTAATATAAAAAAGTAGGTTCCTTTTAGAGAAAAGTGATCGAGACTGCTGACTAGAAGCAGCTAGACTATAGTTCTCATAGAGAGGAATACAAGGTGTACACAAATACAGCACCTGCAACTGAAACATCCAGGCACTTGCATTGGGAATAATCAAAGAAACAACTTATGGAGAATGGAGTAAAGAAAGGCAGGACAGTGGGCCACCTGGGAACAACATGGAGCCAAGGGAACCTCCCCACTCAGTAAAGCAGTGAGTGCATGTGTGACCCTGGGAACGCACAATTCTGCCACAGATCTGCGCAATCTTCAGGTGAGGAGATACCCTCATGGACCCATTTCACCAAGGCCTTCAGTTTAACACACAGAGCTACATGGAGTCTTAGCAGAGCAGCTACTCAGGCCTGTGCAAATTCAAGAGCTTTAGATACTGGCTTTGCAGGCTTCCAGAAAAAGCAGCTGCAACTTGAGCAAAGCAGGAGGTTACACCCCTGTACATACTCATAGGAAAGAGGCAGAATCCAGGGGGCTGAGTAGTGGTGGTCTGTGGGACCCACTTCTACAATGCCTCACACAGTAAGACCTACTGGCTTAGATTCCAGCCAACCACTGGTAGCAGCGCTGCACCTCCCTGGGATGGAGCTACCAGAAAGAGGAGTGGGCCACCATCTTTGCTGCTTGGGCAACTTAGCCATTCCAGCCTTCAGGAATTGAAGAGCCCAAGCTGACTGGGAGCAGAAAGGATCTCCTAGCACATTACAGGTGCTCTAAAAAGACAAGACCAGACTGCCTGTTAAAGCAGGTCCCCAATTTCATTCCTTCTCACTGGAAAGTACTTCCCAATGAGGGTCTCCAGCTACCACCACCAGCGCTCTTTGGTTGATGGAGTTTTGAAACCTCTTTGTGATATAGTTCCTAGAAGGAAGAGTGAGTTGCCATTTTTGTTGTTTGTGTGTTAGCTCTTCCAGCCTCTGGCTTTGGAGAATCCAAATAAACTGGGGGTGGAAGTGGTACCTCTGAACAGCAGAGTTGTCCTACAAAAATACGGTTAGTCTGCTTTCTTGAGGGGGTCCCCAATCATGTTTTCCTCACTGGGTAAGACCTTCAACAGGGGCTTTCCAGCTACTTCCTACAGGTGCTTTTGGGTTGGAAACAGGTCTGTACCTCCCTGGGATGCAGCTCTCAGAGAAAAGGGCATGCTGCCATTGTTGCTGTTTTGCAGCATTCAGTGGTGATAACTTCCGGTACTAGAACATCTGAGGAGACTAGAAACTGCAGTGGACACCCAGCATACTGCAGCAGCCCTTCAGAAGTCGTCAGACTGTTATGTGAGTACCTGTTCTCATATATTCTCATGAGGCAGGTTCTCCAGGCCTGGGCCACTAGCCAATCATTGCCAGAGCTATTGAGCCAGTAGCAACTTAGCAACTCCCTGGACAGAGCCTCCAGGGGCCTCTGCAGTACAACTGTCCTTGCCACCCTCAGACTCATGAAAAATCCAAAACCCTAAGTGCCTTATTCACACCTCAAACAACCTGCAGTTTACCCAAGGAGAGGAGGCCAGTCCATCCTCCATGGGTCCCACAAACTACCCACTGCTCCTCACCAGACAGTGAACCTCTAACTTGGCCAAAAGTACAGATCCTCCAGCCTGGGCTGGCTGCACTGAGTGATTGCTGACCTACATCTCTCTAAGATGCAGCCCCCAGAAGACAAGCAAAGAGATGGGGCAGCAAGCCAGCTCACATGGTACCCAGAGGATTTGGTGCAAGAGCATCTGTAGTAAAGTGTGGCCAGCGACGGCCATTTCTCCAGGCTCAACTTTCTCCCATAAGAGACTTTAGCCCTAGGGGAACTGTTGGGCCTAATTTCTGCAGGATGGTCTTGCAAATCAGAAGCAGCTGGTCCAACTGCGCACTCCTTGGACTGCTGGTCTCTCCCAGGGCCCCAGTCTGGCCACAGCTGCTTACAGGGCAGTCTCAGGTACCCTGGAAGCTCATACCACAGCATCTGCACTGGTGGGCCATGCCTGACCCATGAGAAGCTCCAGCAAGGCAGCCCCTATCACTGCACCAGCCCACGCTTCTTCCCCACACTCCAGCTTCCCCCGAGACCATAGCAACTCCCCATATTTCTTTGCTGGCACATGTCTGCAAAGGCAGGTTTGGCTTTGCTTGCCCCACCAGCAAATGGAAATGCAATATGCCCCTGCCACCCCCAGCAACTGCCACTGTAGATGAAGCTTTGGTGGGCAGAGAGTCAGAAAACTCCACTCCTGCCTTTGTGCTAACACTGTGTGGAGAACAGGGTATCTTCCCACACTCTGAACAATCACTCCTTCTTGGGGGACACAGAGAAGGCATCAAAACCTTCGCTGGCCAGCATCTTCCCCTATACAAACACCACCTTTAAGTGCAACAGTACACAGTCTCCAGCAGGTATCCCCCACTCCCCTCCCAGCTGCTTTGCTCCTGCCAGTGAGGTGAATGCCAAAGACAGGCAGAAACCCCATATCCACTAGCACTCTGCTCCAGCTGTAGCACCTTGGTTCCACAGAATCGCAAACTCCAAATCTCAAGGAGCCAGAGAACAGAGTTGGGGCTCAATACAAGTCCCCCGGAGTTAGAGTATGCAGCCTCTGAGTTGTGAGCTGAGCACTGCCCACCCCCCACCACCACCAAAACAAAACAAAACAAAACAAAACTCCCAGGAACAAAGCCTGTTGGCTGCATCCATCTTATACCACAATCAAATACTCAAGACCATCAAATAGGATTACCAAAAAAAAAAAAAAAAAAAAACAAACCCATTCAAAGGTCAGCAACCTTAAAGATATGCCCACAAAGACAAGACAAAATCAGTGCAAAGATAAAAACACAAAAAGCCAGAGTGACTTTTTTCATCCAAATGACCAAATTACGTTTCCAGCAAGGCTAAAGATGACAGAAGTAGAATTCAGAATATGGATAGAAACAAACTTCACTGAGTTACAAAAGTAAGTTGCAACCCAATGCAAGGAAGGGAAAACATTGCAGGAACTGACAGAAAAAGCAGCCAGTGTAGAGAAAAATGTGGCCAACCTGATAGAACGGGAAAACACAATACAAAACCTTTATCATGTAATCACAAATATTAACAGCAGAATAGGCCAAGCAGAGGAAAGAATCTCAAGAGCTTCAAGACTGGCTTTCTGAAATAAGACAGACAAGAATAGTGAAAAAAGAAAAAAGAGGAATGAATAAAACCTCTAAGAAATATGGGATTATGTAAAGAAACCAAATCTATGATGCAAAAGATTGCCTGAAAGCAATGGGGAGAATGAAAACAACTTGAAATACATATTTCAGGATAAC